GAGGAGAGGAGAGGAGAGCAGAGCAGAGCAGGAGGGGAGGGGAAAGAAACTCAGAGCATCATGGGGCCCCCCAGCAGCCTAGGCCTATAGCAGCATAACTAAGGGAGGGCTCAGGGTCACCTGATCCAGCCCTAACTATAAGCTTTATCAAAAAGGAAAGTCTTAAGTTGGTAATTACACTGATGTCTACAGTCTGACCCGTGTAGTAGTGTATCAGTAGGAATGATTCCTCCCTTTGATGCTCCAGGATGAAGGAGCCAGAAACAGCAAATGAGAAAAGACAAGACATGGCTCTGAACTCGACCTCTGAAGCAGAAAAGAAGGAGGAGCCCTCGCCATCTCCTCAGACTGACTCCTAGGTGACAACATGGCTCAAGTCCGGCCTCTTCCTCCCCCCTGTCAATAATGTTATCACTGATCAGTAACAAAAGCAGCAGGAAAAAACATTTTATGAAGAGTGAATGAAGGATGTAATCTGGATTCAGGACAAGTCAGCTGCTGCCATAATCACTTGTCTTCTTTTTTAAATTTATCTTTAAAAATTCAAATCCAGTGATGTTGGCAGTGTTGGTATCAGAACCTTTATTCACTTTGCACAAGAAGAACCTGGTGTATATTTATTAGTTTGGTGGTTCAGACTTGCATGTTTGTGATGCATGATTGTCTCATGTAAATACTTTGTATATTTCATTGTTTTTTCCCCACATTTTGCTGTTATTTCATCCTGTTCATCCTACCTTGACACATGCACACTGCACTGTATGAGATGTTATAGACTTGTTTATTGATGAATTAATAATCAATGTATTTATGTTATTTTGCCCCATGACTTGAGCATTAAAACAAAATGGACAATTTGGTTTTTAAATATATGAGAGGTAAATGAAAGCAAATTCAAATCCTATGATTAAGATCTAAAGGAATTAGCACATTTGATTAGTATATTCTGATGCTGTTTGAATTTATTTCAGCAGATTATACTGTAAATGGAGGAATTACATTTATGTACATGTGTTCATTTTCTGAAAAAATGATTGTCGGTGCAATATACTGTATGGTGTTTATCTGATTGATTATTCTGTTGTATACAACTGGTCAGTATGGGCACCACATTAAAACACTTGAATGGTAGCCTCACCTGTGTTAGATTTTTTCCCCATAGTGTGTGTATCACAAAAAAACATCACTGCCTCATCCCACAAGTTTCTAAAATTCAAGTCTTTGGTGAAGTGGTCTTATTGACATGCAGATTTGTGTTGATTTGTTGTGTGTCTTGTTCTCATCACATTTCCCATGTTATTTCTGTCATGATTCGGTTCCGCTGCTTCCTGTCCGGCTTTTATTTTGACATTACTTCCTGTTTTGTTTCACCTTAGTTTCGGTCTTTTTACGTTCTTCATCACTCACATTAGTTTCACCTGCTTCGTTATTATGTGCACCTGTTTACACCTCTATTTAGGCAGCGTCC